CCTGTCTCGAAAACCAAAAAAAAAAAAAGCAGAGGGAGCAAGGGGCGACTCCAAAGCCACCGCCTCTGCCCTCAGAAACAGCCTGCTGTTCACCGAGAACCCTGACAGCATTTGGCTCCACAGGGAGAAAAGGAACCCTGACTCTGCTCTGAAATAGGCCAGGACAAGTAGAATGCAGGGCTAACGATCAGCCCCTGCTGCTGCGGCTGGATTTATGGCAGTACTCTGCTGCCAGGACTCCTGTGCCCACCCTCTTCCTAGAGGGAAAGATGGAGACACTCACCGAGGACCAGGAGGCGCACTCGAGACTTGAGGGTACCCTGCAGATCTGACAAGAGTGAGACGGAGCACTCGTAGGTACCATTGTCGTCCATGGTCAGCTGGTCAATGGTGATGGAGGCGTCTGACCGGTCAACATCGTCAGATATTTTCACACGGTTCTCGTAACGGGGCCCGTAGATGTAGCTTTTCGTTAAAAATTTCCAAGTGGCCACTCTTTCCTAAGAGAAAGGAGAAATGCTGCCAGGCCCTGGCGTGGGCCTGCCCTCACCCAGTCTTTCACCCCTAGAGCCCAGAAGTATGGACCAACAGTGTCTCAAACAGATGTGCAGTGCCCACTGGCAGATTCCTAAGTAGCTAGCTCTAGATTTTAAAGCTTTAAATAGAAATGTTAGGGGCCGGAGTTGTAATTTGGTTGGTAGTACTTACCTACCACACATAAAGGCCTAGATCTGATCACCAGCACCACATGGGTACACTTGGGGTGCATGCCAATCATCCAAGATTCCAGGGGTGGAGATGGGGAGAAGTTCAAAGCCACCCTTGGCTATCAGCAAGTTCTAAGCCAACATGAATCCCTGAGTCAAAGCAGAAACCACACAGACGTGCACACCCTGGAGTACCAGAGAGCAGACGAGGCTGTCTTGGAGTAGCACTGGCGTTTATAGCCCGAGGCTGTCTCGGAGAAGCACTGGCGTTTATAGCCCGCGTCCCTCATTCATGCCTCCCCTCGCCCAGCACTTCTGATCACCACCCTGCACCAGGCATCAGGCCAGCACGCTCGAACTACAAGCTCACTTGATTTTCACTATTGCCCTTGGAATGTGTTTATTCACTTATTTGTTCGTCGATGTTTACGAGGCAGCACATTTGTGGCTCACACCACAGACGGCCAAGCCAGACTGCTTCCATCAAATCCTAACTCGGCTGCTGCTAGCTGAATGTCCTCGAGCTATGCGCTTGACTGCTCTGAGTCTCTGCATCCTCACCTACAAAATGGGGAAGTTGATAACAACACATCTCATAGCATTGTGGGCCAAAGCTGTAAGCAGAGCAGTTGGGGTCTGCCTGGTGTGGTGTCTACCGTTACTAGCCATTATGACAATCTACCTATCATGTCCCTGGCATACAATTCATGAATTCTGTCCTCAGAGACTACTGAGTTTGAGAAACAACCAACCACGGTGTCTTAGGATTATGAGATTCGAGACTGGCCAGTCGGGGGAGGATTCCTAAAAAGGGTGATAATTGCATTGAAGCTTGAAAAGCAGCTGTGAATCAACCAGGTAAACAGCTGGGAGAGTGGAGCAGTGTGTGTGGGTGTAGGGTAAATGCGTTAGACTGTAGAAGCAACATTCTCAACCCCAAGTGGCACAGTGTGCGTGAGTGATAGATTGGGAAGAGCTGAGCCTGGGCAATAAAAGCCATAGCTGCTACTTATGTATGTTATGCTGCGAACCATTCCAAATACTAGATCTCACCACACTCCTGTGCATTAGACATTATGATCATATCCATCTTACACAGGGGGAAACCGAGGCGCTAAGAGGCTGATTAAGCATGTTCCCCAAGTTCACCTGCGTAAGTGAATGGCAGAGCTGAGATGACCCTGGGTATTGTGGCTCAGAGCCTGAACTCTGCAGATTACATCACATCTGAGACATTGTGTGACACCAGATAGTTCACAGTTCATCCTGGTGGCAATACTGTACTTGAGCAATAATGAATTTGTTGTTTTTTGTTTTGTTTTGTTTTCCAGTGTGTATGTGGATTGAACCTAGGTGTCTCCCACATACTCTACCACTGAGCTATATCCCTCGCTGGAGAATTCTGTTTATTATAAGGTTAGCTCTTAATACTGAGTACAAATGATTAGAAGGAGAAAGGGGACAGGTTCAGAAGGAACCAGGAAGGAGAGCAGCTGAGTGACCGTGGTGACAAACTTTGATTATTGTCACATTGGGTTGTGGCAACACAGACAGAGAGTAGAATGAGGTAGAGGAGTGAGAAGAAGGGGGCAGCTGAAATTTGGGGGTGGGCCTGGGATACAGAGTTAGAGAGCAGCTAATCCCGGATATAAGGGTTTAGGCATGCCCGTTTGATGATGGTATCCTCCCCAACAGAAGCAACCCACGCAAAGAGAGTGCTTTAAGCCCAAAGTATGTGTTCTGCTTACATGTGGGATGCCTACAGTGTCTGTAGGACACCCAAGGGGAGGAATTCAATATGGCCAAATGGGTCGGCTGAATGTCACATGTGGAGAAGCAAGGAAACCACGTGATATCATGCTTAGTTGTGTCTCCTGCTGTTAGAATGCCTCTTTGTGGCTGAACAAACTGGAAGATGCAGTTAGTTCCTCCTGATATACCAGAAACCAAGGCACCAGAGCCTTCTCTGTCACCCATGTATACCTATAAAGGGTCTGCATCCTCAAATGACCCCAGCTTCAGTATCACATCCTGTAAGGATGCTGTGCCACATCTTAATCCTGAACATGCTGAGCCTTCCCAATTAGAACAAGGCACTCCAGCTTTCCAACAGACACAGCTGTTGGAACACAAGTGCCTTCAGCTGGGTACCCTTGTGCAAGACACAAGTTGTCCAACCATACCTGATAGCCCTGATAGGGTTGACAACCCTCTTAGAATGGCTGGCTGAGGCAGGGAGGCAAAAGGAAGGGAGAGGAGGAGTTGGTGTCTAGGCCTATGAAGTCTGTGGATGCTCAGCTCTTTCCTGACCCTGGCTGGCACTGGATTTTCCACCCCATAATATCTTCTTATCAAAGACATCCCAAGGTTGCCCCTAGGCCTCTTCCTGACCACACCACTTCCTAGGACTCACGGATAATAATCCCTTTCTCTGCATTGGTCACTGGTCCTGAAGGAGCTGCCTCAAATCCTTTTGGAAGTAGAGCATCCAGGAGCTAATAAATAACCCCAGGGTCTATGCCAGTGTTCCGAAGGAGTTAGCCATAGACACTGCACCCAGCTCGCTGGATGTATCTGGTGGGGGGCATAGTGCCCTTCAGTTCCGGAAGCCCAAGACAGCAGCAAGGACGTTGCTTTTTTCACTCTGGAGCAGACAGGAAGCGGGGTGGTGGCTCATGGGGGCCCTTGGTACCTAGAGATAAGACTGACTCCTCCTTGTCCATCTTGTCATCCAGGATGCAGGTGTCCTGGGATTCTGTCAGGGACAAGGCTTAAGCCTCTTTTTCTGGGTGGCTGGGGACCTGATGAGTATCTCTGGCAGATATGTTATTAAAAGTTTTCTTTTTTTTCCCTAAAGATTAGACTACAGGAAGGGGACTAAGAGGGAGTAGCAGTAGGTGATGAGGAAGGACAGGATTCAGGCAAAAGGACATATAAATCACACAAGAAGAGGTAAAGCTAATTTTTTTTTAGTTTCAACTTTCTCTCTCTCTCTCTCTTTCTTTATCTGTGGTGGATAAGTGTGTTGGTCAGTTTTCTGTCAGCTTGACACAAGACAGAGTCATTGGGAAGAGGGACTCTCAACTGAGACAATCCCTCCATAAAATGCAGTGCATTTTCCTGATTGATGACTGATGTGGGAGGGCCCCTCCCTGTGGATAATGCCCCCCCCTCCGGGCTGGTACGTAGCCCTGGGGACTATAAGAATGCAGGCTGAGCGAGCCATGAGGAGCAAAGAGCAAGCAGTTCTCCTCCATGGCCTCTGGTTCAGTTCCTTGCCCCAGGTTCCTGTCTTGAGTTCCTGCCCTGACTTCCTTTGATGACGGACTGAGGTGCAGAAGTGTATGCGAAGTCAACTTTTCCTCTCTGAGTTGCTTTTTGGTCCTAGTGCTTTATCAAAGCAATAGAATCCTAACTAGGGTCATAAGTGAATGCAGATGTAATTGATAGTTAAAGTTTAAAACCCTAAGCGAAGGTCCATGGCTTCTGCAAGGCCATTCTGACTGTATAAAGTTCACTCAGATGTATAGAGTTTGGGATTAGACAAATGTCTGCATGGCTTCCTTAAATTAGCTGTTTGATGGCTTTGCAAATTCATTAGAATAATCTGCCAGATGATATATATCACCTATAACAATATTTATTGTGGTGGCAAAATATTGGGGAAAAAAACCAATGATATACATATATATATATATGCATACATAATCTTCATAAAATATTTTTGAAATAAGATATGGAGTCCATAGCTCAGTGGTGGAGTGCAGGAACAGATTCATATACTCTAAATTTGAATCTCAACCCAGAGAGCAGAGAAGAGGGAGTGACGGAAGGAAGGTTTTAAGGTCTGTGCCTGTCACGAGGTCAGTCACAGTCAGGTGGTAATCATGACCCGCGATGCCCCAGTTCATCTTGGAGCCTTACCGTTTCGCTCCTGAGAAGCTTATCCCATTGAATAAATCCTTCACGGTCTGAAGCGGAAGTGCTGTAGGTACACGGAAGGGTGACGCTACTGCCTCGAGCAGCCTGAAGAATATCCTGCGTGGTTTCCACAGAAATAGCATCGGCAGCTGCCCAGACTGGAATGCAAGGGGAAAGCCAATGACACAGGCATACGTACACACTTGCTGTCTCCAGACCCCTGCAAGGATGTTCAGAGAAGTTCTGTGGCCACAGGCAAGCTGCTACGACAGCCACCTTGGTCAGGGCATTGCTAGCTGCTATCCCTAAGACCAGGACAGGGGGAACTCCAGTGCCTCGGTCTGCCTTCTCCCTACCCTGAAGTGTCCTGAAGCAGTTCCCTGCATCTGGTGACTGCCAGCCTGGCTTCCAGTCTCAGACATAGCCCTTGTTAGTTGTGTGGACTGCTCTTAGCTTCGGGTTTCTCCTCAGTTGCTGAGGGCTGAAAGGTTTTACTTGGTGCCGAGCACCAAAAGCTCTTGATAAACATTTTTTTGTTGTAACCATGACTTGTGTTTTTACTTACTTAACAAATATTAATGGAATATTCACATGTCATGAAGCACTTTATGAGCAAGATTAAATCAAGATAAAAGAGAGTATTCCTGGGAACATTTTGTTTATCAGGAAAGAGTTAATAAAAACAAAACAAAACAAAACCCAGCATGGCCACACCACTGTTTCCTCTCATGCACACTCTTCTTCCTTAGTGATGGTGCATTTCCTCCATTGTGAGGTGGAGTCTCTGCTTTTGAGTCTGGGTGGTCTCAAACTTTGGTGTGGGGACACTCCATGGCTCCCAAGCTAAATTATGTAACGGAATAAGCTTTGCCTGGTTCTTTTGGGATGCTACTCTAGGGACCTGGCTAATACTTGGTGACCAAGCTCAGCAGACACACAAGAAAATCAAGAGAAAGTTTCTCATAGGTCAAGTAGAAAAGGTGTCTCCTGAGCATGAAGCTGGTTGTGATGGTTTGTGATAAGTTTTTTGCACCCTGATAGGCCTCTCTGCCGACGCAGCAATCCAAATCAGACCAAGTTAGGAAAAGGCCCGGTTTAATGGGTAGAGCGTTCCTGGGTGATTTCCAGCCCTGAAGGAGGGGACAGGACAAGAGACCACATGTCTGTTTTCTAGGATGCAGCTTATATACTCTGTAGGAGTGATCTTGGGCCTCTCTGGGGGAGGAGCTGTGTTTGGCGGGCTTTGAAAGAGTGGGTTTAGGAAAAGAGATGGGGGAGGGGAATTGAGGTGGCTCTTCCACCAGAATATTCCAGACTCTTTGGGTATAGGGATGCCAGGGTGCCCGGGGTTGAGGTGGAGCTCCTATCCAAACAGTTAGAATAAGAACGACCTCATAGGCTCATATATTTGAATGCTTGGTCACCAGGGTCACCAGGGAGTGGAATTCTTTGATAGAATTAGAAGGATTAGGAGGCCTGGTGGGAAGAAGTGTGCCACTGGGTGTGGGCTTTGAGGGTTCAAAAAGCCCACGCCAGGCCCGGGTGTTCTCTCTCTCTCTCTCTCTCTCTCTCTCTCTCTCTCTCTCTCTCTCCTTCCCTCCCTCCTTATGAATCAGAATGTAGCTCTTGGCAATTGCCCAAAGCATAAGGTGGGAAGAGGAACAGACCTTAGAAACCACCCCAAGCCACCCACCTGCTGTGACAAGATGTGGTTAAAGGCACAGGTGGGT